TACGTGGTTGAAATTGATTGTTAAAATTTTGAAAACCTCGTGGGTTCTGATGTTGAAATTGATTGTTAAAATTTTGAAAACCTTGTGGGTTTTGTTGTTGTAATTGGTTATTATAATTTTGAAAACCTCGTGGGTTTTGTTGTTGAAATTGATTGTTAAAATAATTTCCAGTATATCTTCTTCGATTGTAGAAGTAATTGTTTGAATTTTGGTTTGACGTTATCATTTTTTCATCAAAATTTCCTGGTCTTATTCTCATACTTCGCTGTTGGTCGAATTTGTTCTTTTGATAATAAAACTCAGCTTCTTCTGCCAAATTTTTCATTTCATCCAATGAATTGACTTTGGTTAACGCAATATAATTTAGTATTCCGGGTAACAACCCATTTTTAATATATTGAACTTTTTCATCCAATTCCATATTAACATCGAGTTTTGCACATAATCCTATCATCTCGAATATGTACGATCGGACATCTTGACTTTCGGATTGTTTTTTATTTTCGATTCTCATTCTGAGTGTATTTTTACTAAACGAGGTCTTTTTAAAAGCTAAGATTAGTTTTGCTTTTAAATCATCGTAAGTTGTTGGTCTTTGGCCACTTGGTTTAGACCTTATACTCCCGGTATACCAATCTTTTGCTGGTCCTTTTAAATACAATGGTAATCTTCTGAAACGGTCAATATCATCTAATCCAGCCGCTTCAGTGATTTGTTCGAATTCCTCGATCCATTCACTGACTTCGTTGTTAACTCCGTTAAAATCTTTGATATTGTTTAGAAGTGTATCTGAGTAATTTCTTCTTACTCCATCTCGAACGGGAGATTTAGATTTACTCCTCTCGCTTTTCCCAATAGGATTTACTATTGACGGTTCGCTCATTGTGATCAATTAGGCAGAAAGACAAAGACGAATTTTGAATTACGATGATGGTTTGAGACACTAATTGTTTACCAAAATAAGATGATTAAACAAATCACCAGCATAAAAGTTTTACACATCTTACAGAAATCATGCATTAAGTCGGACAAATATGAATTTATAGGTTTCAATGATGAACCAGATAAACACGAAGATGAATGGTAACAATAATAAAATAAGAATGATCACCTTTTTCTCTTCTATTGATAGAGTTGACATCTGACAATACAAACGCAATTGTAACTAATAACTAAGTTAATCAATTGTTTCGACAGATTAATCACCAATAATACAAATGAAACACAATTGTAACTAATAACTAAGTTAATCAATTGTTTCGACAAATTAATCACCAATAACACAAATGAAACACAATTGTAACTAATAACTAAGTTAATCAATTGTTTCGACAAATTAATCACCAATAACACAAATGAAACACAATTGTAACTAATAACTAAGTTAATCAATTGTTTCGATAGATTAACCACCAATAACACAGATGAAACACGATTGTAACTAATAACTAAGTTAATCAATTGTTTCGATAGATTAACCACCAATAACACAGATGAAACACGATTGTAACTAATAACTAAGTTAATCAATTGTTTCGACAAATTAATCACCAATAACACAAATGAAACACGATTGTAACTAATAACTAAGTTAATCAATTGTTTCGACAAATTAATCACCAATAACACAAATGAAACACAATTGTAACTAATAACTAAGTTAATCAATTGTTTGATAGATTAACCACCAATAACACAGATGAAACACGATTGTAACTAATAACTAAGTTAATCAATTGTTTCGATAGATTAACCACCAATAACACAGATGAAACACGATTGTAACTAATAACTAAGTTAATCAATTGTTTCGATAGATTAACCACCAATAACACAGATGAAACACGATTGTAACTAATAACTAAGTTAATCAATTGTTTCGATAGATTAACCACCAATAACACAAATGAAACACAATTGTAACTAATAACTAAGTTAATCAATTGTTTCGATAGATTAACCACCAATAACACAGATGAAACACGATTGTAACTAATAACTAAGTTAATCAATTGTTTCGACAGATTAATCACCAATAATACAAATGAAACACAATTGTAACTAATAACTAAGTTAATCAATTGTTTCGACAAATTAATCACCAATAACACAAATGAAACACAATTGTAACTAATAACTAAGTTAATCAATTGTTTCGATAGATTAACCACCAATAGTTGCGATAAAATTCTTATAATACCAGATGATGACTAATGATATTCTTAGTTTTTATCCTTACTCGCAAACTTACGTCTTGTTTCAGTTTGAACAATTGATTAAGATTTATAATAAAAATATAATCGAAAACATTAAAAGCTTCGCACGAGAAACAAAATCTATCATGTCATTTGTCGCTGTAGTAATCTAAATGTAATGTTATCAATACGAAAGAATCGATTTTGAATTGTAAGCTATACAATTAATCGATATTTCAGAAAAATCGATTTAATCGATTCCTTTGTGTAACATTCGTTACGATTTTTTTCATTGTTTTGTTCAAATTAATATCACTAAACTTTGGTAATTAAGACCAATTTCACATTAATGCATCCACGATATGTTTTCTTTGAGAATACGGCATAGATATTAATTGTAAATGTTAAATTGTGATTAAAAAAAAACTTACGTTTTGGCCAAAGTTTCTCTCCAGTCACTTTTGCCAAGAGTATTTCCCAACTGGTGAAGTTTTCTCCTTTTGTTGGAATTGTTTTATTTATTTTTTTACAATTATCTTAATAATAAGAAAAAGAAAACAATCATTTATAAAAGAGAAAGAAAAGAAAAATAGCAAAGAGGGCACAATAAATAAGGAAAATAACCCAATTACACTCGGAATACCGAGTAATTTTCACTAAAATCACGTCTAATAAGGTCACCAAAATGTTTCGATAATCCGGAGATTAGCCACCTTACTCAAACTGTTTTAATTAAATCACCGTAATAATCACATTAAACTAATTAATTAGTTGTTATTCGAAATATATGATTATAATGTAAAACTTAGATTATTACACTGTTAATAATTTTAAATATAACATAATCGGAGTTGGTTGCCAACTGGCCTTTTTTTCTTATACAAAAAGAAAATGGAGGATGAGGATGAAGATAAGGACGAGGGAGCGAGGAAGAAGGGAGAGAGAGAGGGGAAAAAGTGGTTTGAGTGGTGATGATGATGATGGTACCAGGTGAACCAACAGGTTTGTTCACCTGGCCAAAGTTGTTGAGACACTCTCTCTGTTTTTGCCAGAAACACGTGTACAAACTTGGTCCAGAAGACAATCATCACTTTAAAATGGAGCAAATAATATAAAAACAAGAAAATCAAGAACAACAAAACTATCATCAAAAACACACAATCAATCCTCAGAAATAATTAAATCTTTGGCTGCGCGAGTTGCTGTTTTGGAAAAACTATTGTTGATAAAAAAACAAAAGTAAGTATTAATAGTTAATCATTGTGCAAATTATTACTAATTTTTTACTTGTTTAATTGTTAACGAAATTAATATTATATTATTTTTTTATTTCAGTACGCATGGCCTCCGGGTTAAAATTTCGCGGAAGAAAGGAGACAACAGAATCTTCGATCACAATGATATTAAAAATGGCAAAATACTTGATGCATTTTCAATGAAAAGATGAAAAAGAATGTAGAGATTCAACCAATGGATATCGAAGATGCAAGTGCTCTCATTGTGTCTCGAACAAATTGAGGACTTATGGTCGAAGCAACCGTTTTTTATCATTCGCGCAGCAAAGGCGATATCGACAATTTATCAGTAGTTAGATAATCAAGACATTCCCATTTACCATTGTTTTGATTGATAAGATTTTCTTATCGCTTTCGATGCGCAATTGATATAAAATTACCCTCAAACTCATTTCGTTTGGCTGTATATTAACTGTTGATTGAGAGCTTGTTAATTTCACTTCAAAATAGTTATTCTAATCATTTCGCTAATTACAAGTTCGATTGATAATTAAAAGGGGCAGAGGTTGAACAAAAAGTTCCAAACGTAATAATCAGTTTTCTGGTCAAGATTTTCGGTCACTTCCTTCAGACGATAACATTTCATCGCCAGCGAAATTCAATCAGGTATATAATCATCTTCATCTTCATCTTCATCAAGATGATTATATGTTGGATTATCCCCTCATCCTTGTTATCATTAATATTAATATTAATATATTGATACAGTTATTGACAATAACTTATTGTATCATGAGCAATGAGCTTGAGAGATGAAGGTGAAGATGAGTGAGGAAAACTTAAGACAATCCCAGAAACGAAGCTTGAAGTCAGTTCCTCCAGTAACGACACATCCATTTATGTCAAGGGTCACTATTCCGTTCACCGATCGAGCACATACATCTTTATTCTCAGCTGTAAGAGCTGGAAGGTCACTGGCCCAAAGAGAGCGAATACGTTCCGAAGTGCCACAATTCCACAAAATAACATGTCCACCATGTGTTAACGATTTGCACAATTCATCTTCTAAAATGAAATCTTGATTATATAATATAATTATATTGAAATCAATATAGTTATAATCTTAGAACCTTCCTCGGAATTTATGGACCGGAATTGATAATATTCTTGGACTTCTATTAATCAACGTAATCAAGGTTATACTAAATGAGTTTTATTCCTACTTAGTTAACTTTGATATTGATTGACACAAAATTTAATATAATCGGTTAAATTATTGATTCTGTTGAATCAAAGATACTGTGATTTCCATGTAATCATTTCATCGGAATCATATAATTCACATTGAAATCGTATTATCTATTAGAATTTCAAGTTTCTGGTTGATTACTTACTATTCCACTTAATCAAAATTCAAGGTTATAATTAGTGTGCATGATCAATAATAATCAGAGTATAAATTTCAAACCTGCTGATCTTCACCAATCAACATAAATTGATATTCATAAAGTTTTCAGCAAGTTAACGATGAAGAATCAAACTTTAAAAGTACTATTAACAAATTATCTGAATAAATTTTCATTACTTAGATTAAATTATCTTAGTCAATCTCCACCATGGTATTATCATATAATTCAGATTTTCGTTATTTTCGCACTAATATCTATTAGCTATAAAGGGTATATATTCATTTATGGAAATCTAAACCCATTGACCGCTCTCTACTTAGGTGATTATGCTATTCAGTTGGGTGAATCTCATGACCTGTCGATATTTACGAACATGTTGTGGTTCGAATGTGGCCTAATATGTTTCTGTTTACACCAAAGGTCAAACAATTTACCTCAAAAACAGGATTGGCTTCGTTCGTTATCCATTCAAGACGAATTACTAACTAATTATTCATCTTTTCCTGATTCATTAGACTCAATAAATATCAATGTTGGTACTGTTTCTCTAATTGTGAATCTATTTTTTCTCAATTTAAAAGTCAATCTTTTCCTTGGCGGTGCTTTCAGTTGGTTCTTGTATTCACCGTTACTCGTTGATTGTGATTCGATTGTACTTTTTTTAGCTCTCAATTTTGGTGGTTTTCATGCCGCTGTTTCTGGTTATAGTTGTACCGCTTTTTGTGTCAACTTTTCATTTCTATTTGCTTTCTATTCAATAACCAGTGGTTTGAGATATCATATGATTTCCCAGAAATTATCAAAATTATCCCAAACAATTACAAGCTACAAGACAATCAATATAATAGTCAATCAATTGTTAACTCTTTTGATTGAAAATCATCGCGCTAACATTTACTGGACTCAAATTAATTCAACGATTTTCTTGTTTACATTTATTGCTCAGATTCCAATTTTATATCTAATCTTTTTCATCCAATTGACCAGTTTCACTAAATTTTCACTCATCATTCTTGGTGGACTTAATTTCCTCTGTGGTCAATCAATTACCTTCCTAAGTGCTTATTATACCAGAAATCGGGTGAGTTGATTTACTTATTACCAGTTAATTATAATCTGGTTTAAATTACCAGTTTTTTTGCTCTCATTCTGATTGTGATTAAACTTAATCTTATCTGCTATGTATTGATTAATAAACTATTAATTATTGTTTGATTGTTTGGTATTTACTTTCTACCTTTTAAATTATAGTTGAATCGATGTCAGAAACAATTAAATCGTTTATTAATTGTTCGAAACGATATTGATTTTATAAGAAAGATACAGTTAACCAATGTAGCTGAATATTTGATTGATCGTCAATTATTTTTCATTTATGGAGGATTTGAATTCAATCAAATCAATTACCTTACGGTTAGTAAAATTTACATCATTAAAATTAATCACTACAATTAAAATCGCCTTCTTTTCTCATATTGATTCTCAGGTCATCCTTGAAATTATTTCCAACTTATTGTTGTTAATTGCAAATGTAGGAATACGTTGATTGATTAAATATGAAGAATCATTTTTGACTATTGATCCATAATAATAAAAAAGTTGATACAAATGTATTAATAAAATGATAATGAATCAACATAATACAAATCACTGGAGCGATTTTATCACTTATTGATTATCATTATCAGTAATTTTCGTGAGTAGTTGAAGATGATATAAATACTAATTATCAATCAATAGGTTAACTTTGCTAAAAATTGTTACAATCAAATGGATTAACTAATTGCACATTCTATTGATTATCATGGTTATTGACTTAGCTCTCAATTAACTACGACAAATGTGAAGCTGAACAAAAATAGTAACAATGATAATAAATACTCTGGACTGTAGATTTGGATTGAAACTGAGCTGGTCATCTGGGATCATCAGCTGAAACGATGTTGATGAAACCTTTCGAGGTCAATGTTGGTCAATGATCACCTAACAATCATTAAACTAAGACTCAAGGTGATGATGATAATGGTTGACTGATTGATTATATTACAATTGTTAATAACACAAGAAATTGATACAAATAATGATTACTATTCATCTGGATAAGGAAAAAAATTATTCAACTTGATATTTTGTTTCTTTTTTGCCTTGCAGTGGTCATACATTTCCGTCTAATGGTCAGTGTAATCAATTGATATTAATGTCACATCATTTTCGGATGGACAGCCAAGAATATCTAAAATTATCAGAATAACATACATAATATACTAGGAGAGAAAAAATCTTCCATAGAGATAATGAGAAAACCAGGAAGCTCATGAATACCACCCGCCAATCCAAGTGACTGAATAGAGTGGATGAAATTTCATCAGCTAATTGCCAAGTTCAACAACAATCTCGATTACAGTTTTTATGGTGCTAATTGAATGCAACAGTTACTTTCATGTTACAATGTGTAACGAGAATAAGATAAATATAAATGAAAATGCTTCCAAAATTCATCCATCATGCTACTCAATTCAGATTCGATATATTTATAAATATATTTCTCTCATGGTGAAATTTAAAGTTACTTTTAAATGGTAGAAAAAATTGAATCTTGACTTTGAATAATTCATCATTTAGCTTATATAAACTTACTGAAATCATGAAAAATGGTCCATCATGGATTTCAATGTATCTTTAATAGTAATATCATCACATGGTAATGATAATAAAAGTTTACAGTTATCATGGTTCATGGTTAGAAAATATAAACACTGAGTCAAATGATTCATGAACCTCATTTCCCGTTCTCATATATTAATAACCAGCAATAGAAATTGGGTGATAGAGATTGGGGTTCAGTAAGTTCTGACATGAGATCAACTTTTTGTCTCTCTAATTATTATCAGGGAGAGAAAAATTCTCAGCATTCTGTGTATCTGATAGTCGATAAAAGCTGAGATAGAAATCAATTTATTATCATGATTTAGGATTTTCACAATTCATTGCTGAATCTTATAATAACTGAGGAGAATGTTTTTCTCTATCTATTCTTTTACAAATGATGATGATGATGATTATTATTATTATTCCAATGGTCAATAAAGTTCTGATCATCTTGGAGAAACATCAATGCTACAAAAAGGTCGTTTAAGCGAAATTTTTAAAAAGTTATTTATTCATTTTGAAACATTTTCTTGCGTATATAAAATATCAAAACTCAGTATTCATTCATGATAATGATAATATCTTGTTTCAATCTTTTCCATCAGAATTGTCTTGAATATAATTCAACAAAAGAAATGAGTGAATTTTCAGTTGTATACAAAATAGATTGAAGCTCCAGAGTTATCAGAATTTTCATCTCTCATAGAAAACCATCATGAAAGTATCAAAGTGAAATCACCAATTGAATGTCAATGCTGTTTATTGTTGTTTTCCCCTTGGTTGATACTTGGCTCATTGATTTCAATCCAACATGGTGACTATTTCAGTGTAATAATCATTCATTCATTCAGAATTTAGGGGTGAGGGAAAGTTTCCAATTCTGCTTGATGGTAATAATAATACTCAGCTATCTGTTTGTTTGTAATCTACCATGAAACTATTTTCTCAACTGAAAATTCTGATTGAAACATCATTTTTAAAGGAAATAACAAAACTACACGAAAAATTAATAGCAGATAATCAGTTAAATTGATGATTTCATTGTTCATTGTTCATATTATTACAGAATAAACTAAATCATCCTGTTACCATGTTGAATATTTCTGAATATGAGACAATGAATTTTCATGGTTACTTTGGGCTAGTAAAAGTGAAAGTTGGGATCAATTCTGTGTAAATTTCGTCTATTGAATTCATGGTTATGCATGATGATGATGATGGTGATAAATTTCATCATCAATTAATAAACATTACATGAGTTTGATTGTCTTAGAATGTAATTAATGGTGATGGTTAAAAGCATTTGTGTTACATTGTATATAATAATAGTTTAATTAGATTATCGTTTCAAGGTATTCAGAAAATTCATCAATACTGAAAGGTAATGAATGATTCATTTAAATAAATAAATAGTTACAAATGAATTACATGTAAATTGAATTTCATTAATGCTACAAGATGAAAAAATAGAGATAGGGAAAATGCTCATAAACTGTGAATCAAAACCTCGTCTAGATAAATGATATCATTGTAAGATTATTCATGAAACTGTACTGACAGACAAGAAATTGACAATGAATTATTCTGAGTTATTATTGGCCTCGATATGAATAATGATAATAATGAATAAGAATACATTTTGATGAGAAAAGAAGAAGAAAAAAACAATTCAAAGTCAAGTTGATTATCGATCGTTTCTATTGAATACTATTGAAGAAAAATAAAATATCATCTTCAACTTTCATGGAACAGTTTTACTTATCAAATGTTATGCTCATGAACATTTCCATATCCACCATGAAAACTCAAAGTCTAAGTAAAACCGATAATGATAATCAATAGTGAGTGTTGATATCGGATAGACATTTTCTTCCTCATGCCTCTTAATTAAAAAAAGACACAACAATCGGGCGATTAGAAGAACAAAAATTCTTAGAAACAACATGAATACTGAATAAATTCTGAACATTATCGTTACACTCATGATAATGTAACATAATAATAACTTCTAGTATTCTGTTATTCTTTTTTTTCCTGCATCATTTTCGAGATGAGAGTATTTGTCAACCTTAAAACTCTCTCTCTCTCTCTCTCTCTCTCTCGTATTGTATTCGAAGTATTCGTCAGAACTCACTCAATGGGAGTTATTGATTTTTATCCTCATCATTATCGCCTTGGAATTGAAAATATTACTAATAGAACAGTTTTTTTTTGCTTCTCTTTCTCCTCCCTTGTATCTTCATAAAAACTTAATACATACACATCAGACTACGAACTTGAAAACATTCCTATTGAAAGATAATGATAAGTTACCATGCTAATATTGTTGTTCAGTTGAACACTCATGATGATAGCTTTATCATCACTTCCCAAAAAATTCAATGTTGTACATGGGTATTCATATTAAATCAGACTCAGAGTCGCTGTTAATCATTGGAATGATAATAAATTGAATATAACTTTTTTTTGTTATTATTTTCTTTCGCTATCAAGATAATAATTCAATAATAATTGAACAATTGATAATCATAATTATTTTATCGACAATTTATATCCATTGACGAAGATTTTGCCAAGAAAAAAGTGTCAAAACTCTAAATGAATTTGATTATATTGCACATTCGACACATATTCAGATTTCCTATTGTTTCCTTTTTCATAATGATAATATTAATAATCTACATCATTGTGTTATCATTATCATCCCAATAATGTACTCAAAGAATTGATATTATCAACATCATGCATAATATGCAACATCAAACATGGAAACTATTATATTACATGATGATGATAATGATGATTACCTTGCCAACTTTTCCGCGATTATTGTGAGATTTTCAATCCAATCATCATCACGATGATAATGATACTTATTGCATTCTCATTGGAAGATGATTATTTTCACTTTCTATTATAATATAATCAAAAGTTATAACTATTATTTATTCAAAGAAAATTATTTCCCTGAATACTCTGTGGTATTCAATATCTAATGTAAATTTTAAATTCTCACAAACTTTTGTCAAGATGTGGAAGAAAATTTTACAAACTCAACAAGGAAATCGATTGAGAAGTGTTTGAGGTAAATGCTGTTCATATTATTATCTTGACTTTTGCTTGAGGTTAAATCTGTTTGGTTTTAATTTACGACGAGATATAACTCGATTATCATTAACATGATACAATTACAAGATAATTATGATTAGCTGGAGAGATAATCAACTTGAACACTATTTCTAAATCTACTCAACTGATTACACTAAGATAATAACAGTATTTTAATCAGCTTTTAGTATCTAAATATTGACTTAGTTCATCTAATTGGATGAGCTCATTATCATGTTAGTTTATATAAGCTTCAGCTGATCATCGAAATGATATTGTTATTATTACCATTAGATAATATTATCAGTCAACTGTGATTCTTGATTGTGTTACATTATATTATTAAGCTTCTTGATTTAGTTTGGTGATTAGTAGTATAACCGTTATTGTAATCATTTTTATCCTTATTACTTTTAATGTATTTTTATTTTTCTGTTCATCTGAAATCAAACCTCATCGAATGTGTTACAATGGTAATAAAAGTGTACATAAGAAAACAAAAAACTCTATCGACTTTTGTATCATTTATGATTATTATTTGGAGAGAAAAAAATATTAATCTTGATAATGTTTCAATAGTGATCAGGATGGAAAATGAAAATTCTTGTTAAAACCATTTGATTGTTGTTATTAGTTGATTGGTGTAGTTTTTTTTTCGTTGCAATAATGATAACAATATAATCGGTAATTGGCTTCGTACATATATATCGTGAGCTAAAGTGACCAAAGATTTTGCTTGGATAATATTGTCCATATCATTAGAATCATCTAATGTCCAGTAACTTGTCGTTCAATTGGTCATCTCATATTTCAAGGTGAAAGTTT